CTTTTTTCTTTTCTTTTTTCTCTCTCTTTCTTTCTTTCTTGTCAGGGTTACTTTATTTTATTTATTGTTAAGAGTCTTGCTCTGTTGCCCAGGCTGGAGTCCATGGCACGATCTCAGCTCACTGCAACCTCCACCTTCCGGGTTCAAGCAATTCTTCTGCCTCAGCCTCCCGAGTAGCTGGGACCACAGGCGCCGGACACCATGCGCAGCTAGGTTTGTTTGTTTGTTTGTTTGTTTTTTATTTTTAGTAGAGACAAGGTTTCGCCATGTTGGCCCGGCTGGTCTCAAACGCCTGACCTCAAGTGATCCGCCCACGTCGGCCTCCCAAAGTGCTAGCATGACAGGCGTGAGCCACCAAGCCTGGCCTTTAATTTTCAACATGGTACTTATCACGAACATACCCTAGGCAACATGTGAATGTCCAATGGATTGCCTGTCTCCCCTCCCACTAGAATAAAAACTCCACGAGGGCAGGGGCTTGTTTTGCCAGTCTGCTTAACAGCTCTGCCCACAGGTGGCTGCCCGGGGCAGACAAGTGGCTTAACAAGCATTTGTGGATGTATAAAAAAGGATGAAGGGTGGGGAGGAGTGAGGGAGACTTGGGCTTCGGGACTGAGATGTGAGGCCGTCCCTGAAAGGAAGCAGGCTGTGGGGGCCGAGGGAAACGCCAGCTCGGCTCCAAGGTCTGCACGCAGGAATCAGCTTGCCAAACACAGGTGTGGGAGTTGTCGGCCTCTGGCTTGTAATTAATGCTTTGCAGGGGTTGAAATCGTCCTCAGGGTAAAATTCCCGCTCCTGTCCCCTCCTGGCCCTCCAGCCTCAATCAGCGCATCTATAAAATGGGGCCACCATGTGAGGCGTTAGGTACAGCGTCCAGCCCAGCACCGGGCACTTGTGAGACACTCAGGAGATGGGATGAGTCCCTCTCGTTACTGCCTGAGAAGAGAAAGGGTTGTGGTGCAGGTGAAGTGGGTGGGAACCTCAGCTTCCCGAGGTGTCCCTATTCTTTACTCCCTAGCCGGTGGCCATCTCCATGGCAACGTTGACGCCTTTCCATTGCGCATCTCCCGAGCCGAGCCTGTCTCTAAGCTCCTCTCGCAGTGGGCGGGTCTTGTCCCTGGGGACGGTGCCTGCTTCGAAGGGGGCGGGTCTTGTTTCTCGTCGGGAGATACAGATTTTTTTAAATTTAAGACGGAGTTTCGCTCCTGTTGCCCAGACTGGAGTACAATGGCGCGATCTCGGTTCACCGCAATCTCTGCCTCCCGGGTTCAAGCGATTCTCCTGCCTCAGCCTCCCAGGTAGCTGGGATTACAGGCACGCGCCACCACAACCGGCTAATTTGGTATTTTTAGTAGAGACGGGAGTTTCTCCATGGTGATCAGGTTGGTCTCGAACTCTTGGACTCAAGTAATCCTCCTGCCTTGGCCTTCCGAAGTGCTGGGATCATAGCTCACTGTAACCTGGACCTCCTGAGCTCAAGTAATCCTCCCAGCTCAGCCTCCTGAGTAACTGGGACTACATGTGTCACCACACCCGGATTTTTTTTTTTTTTTTTTTTTTTTTTTTTTTTTTTGTGGAGACAGGATCTCACTATATTGCCCAGGCTGGTCTCTTAATTCCTGAGCTCAAGCTATCCTCCTGCCTCAGCCTCTCAAATTGTTGGGATTACAGACATGAGCCAACTTGTCTTGCCTAAAATATTTTCTTTGTGAAATATAAGACAGATTTTTTTAAAAATGCACATACTGGCTTGTTTGCAACAACAACAACAAAAAAAATAGCTGTGTACCTCATACTGGCTTGTTTGCAAAAAAAAAAATGTACAATACAAACACACAATTGAATAAATAATTATACGTGATTATCAGATTAAGTACTAGAATTCTGTCAACTATCAGCAACCCTGGAAACCTTTAGGATATCCCCTTCCACTTAACTCGTCCAGCCCACTATTCTGAGTTTTATAGGACAACGTTGTCCTTGCTTTTCTGTATGGCTTACTACTGACAATGTATCCTGAACAATAAGTTACCGTTTAGTTTCACTTGCATTAGAATAGGTTTGTTTTTTTGTTTTGGAGACAGGATCTCGCTCTGTCCCCCAAGTTGTAATGCTGTGGCATGATCTTGGCTCACTCAACCTCCGCCCCTGCCCTCCATCATGCTCCAATGATCCTCCGGTCTCAGCCCCCCGGAGTAGCTGGGACTACAAGCACAGGCCACCACACCTGGCTATATTTTGTATTTTTACTAGAAACGGGAGTCTCGCCAAGTTGCTCAGGCTGGTCTTGAACTCCTGAACTCGAGCAATCCTCCTGCCTTGGCCTCCCAAAGTGCTTGGATTACAGGCGTGAGCCACTGCACCTGGCCTGAATGTTATGTAAATGAAATCGTGCTCTGTTTCTGCTTCTTGGGTCCTGTGTCTTTGTAATTTTCATTCATGAGATTGTGTTTATCTGCAGCTCATTCTTTCTTGTTGCTGTGTAGTACTCCATTGCATCGTATACCATCATTTTTTATCCACTGTATTGCTGATGGGCATTTTGGTTGCCCTGAGTTTGGGGTTGAAAGTATTGCTGCTATGAATGTTTTCATATGTCTCTGGGTGCAGGGGTACTTGACTTAGTGGTTATGCCTAGCAGTAGAATTACTGCATCACAGGATATGCTTATGTGCAGTCTTTGAGAATGGCAATCTGTGGGGCATTTAATTTAACAAACTCAGCCAGGTGCGGTGGCTTACACCTGTCTTCCCAGAACTTTGCAAGGCCAACGTGGGTGGATCGATCACCTGAGGTCAGGAGTAGGCGACCAACCTGACCAATATGGTGAAACCCTGTCTCTACTAAAAGTACAAAAATCAGCTGGTGTAGTGGTGCACACCTGTAATCCCGGCTACTTGGGAGGCTGAGGCAGGAGAATCACTTGAACCCAGGAGGCAGAGGTTGCAGTGAGCCAAGATCATACCACTGCACTCCAGCCTGGGCAACAGAGTGAGCCTCTGTCTCAAAAACAAACAAAAAAATTTAAGGGACTCAAGGAAAGGAACCTTTGATTCTCTTAAACCCCAACTTAAATGTGTCTTCCCCCAGTTTTCTGGTCATCATAAAAAATGCCACCACTCAATGATTTACTCCTGATTTCTCCTTTCTCATTACACTCATCCCCAACCAGTACACACATGCACACAACCCGTCCTCTGCATTCGTACTCCAGAGTTCATCTCGAATCTACCCATTCCTTTCGTTTTATCTTATTATGTTTACTAGAGACAGAGTCTCACTGTATTATCTAGGCTGATCTCAAACTCCTGGGCTCAAGCGATTCTCCTGCCTCTGCCTCCCATAGCGCTGGGTTACAGGTGTGATTTCTGTTCGTCACTCTGGTTTACACTCCCACAGGTTTCTCCCGGACTGCAGTCTTCTGACTCTGTGTTCTCCAACTTCGTTTCCTCTCCTTAGGCACAGGGATCTTGGTAAGGTGCAAGCGTGGTCCCATCCCTCTTCAATGAACACTTTGTTTCCCACTGCCCAGAGAACACAGCCAAACACCTATCTTGGCTTGCCTGGCTCACTGCGATGTGACCTCTAGCCACCTGTTAACCTTATCACATCCTTCCCTCCCTGAGCTCACTTACCTTCTGTGTCCATTTGGGCGTCCTCCTCGCTGGCCCTTGTTCACCCTTCAGGACTCAGATCCACCTCCACCAAGAAGCCCACCTGGACCACCCCATCTAAGGTGACATAGCCTAGCCACTCACTTTACCACCCTTCCCTATTGCCTTCAGAATGTTTGTGACGATCTGAAATTATTGTCCACGTTTATTTGACTCCACTTTTCCCCATGCCCGTCGCCCACATGACAGAACATATCCAGGAGGGCAGGGATGATCCCCACAGGGAGTTCCAATGCCTGGCTCAGAATAAGCCCTCAGTACAGAAATGAAATCCAGTGTGCAGAATAGTGTGAAGGCACCCCCTCCTGAATTCTCTGATGGGAAGTCCTATTCTAAGGGACTGCTGTAGGGTCGAAGGCAGAGTCCAAGGGGTGGGGCCTCATCTCGGACATGCCTCCAGCGAGGCAGTTTGGTTTCCCAAGGGGCATGGCCTGTAAGATTGGTGGTTTCTAAAGGACATGCCTAGTTTCTTGGGGGTGTCTGTCTGTTGGAGGTATTTATATTTAAATATAAATACCATATATTTAAGGGACAGAGCTCATTTTCATTGAAACCGACTCTAATTTCATTTATTATTATTATTATTTTTGAAACGGAGTCCCCCTCTCTCGCTCAGGCTGGAGTGCAGTGGTGTGATCTCGGCTCACTGCAGCCTCTGCCTCTCGGGTTCAAGAGATCCTCCTGCCTCAGCCTCCCGAGGAGCTGGGATTACAGGCACATGCCATCACACCCAGTTAATTTTTGTATTTTTCGTAGAAACAGGGTTTTACCATGTTGGCCAGGCATGGTCTTGAACTCCTGATCTCAGGTGGTCCGCCTGCCTCAGCCTCCCACAGTTCTGGTATTACAGGCATGAGCCACCAAGCCAGGCCTAAACGGACTCTAATTTTAAAGGTCCTGTCCTACTTAAAGCTTTGAAAGTTCTCAGGAGGTGCCGGGCGCGGTGGCTCACGCCTGTAATCCCAGCACTTTGGGAGGCCAAGGCGGGTGGATCACGAGGTCAAGAGATCAAGACCATCCTGGTCAACAAGGTGAAACCCCGTCTCTACTAAAAATATGAAAATTAGCTGGGCATGGTGGCGTGTGCCTGTAATTGCAGCTACTCAGGAGCCTGAGGCAGGAGAATCGCCTGAACCCAGGAGGCAGAGTTTGCGGTGAGCCGAGATGGCGCCATTGCACTCCAGCCTGGGTAACAAGAGCGAAACTCCGTCTCAAAAAAAAAAAAAAAAGTTCTCAGGAGAAAAGGAAGACCTGTCTATATTTAGGGGGTCTGCCCAAAGAGACTCCCCATCCTCCTTGGAGCCAAGGATCAGAAAATCAGACGGTAGCGACTGACAGGACAAGGTTTATTGGGGGTCCTGGAGACACTGGGGAGAGGCACGAGGGGATGAGGTCAAGGCTCACGGGGGACCTCCTAGCCAAGTTCCCCCTTCCCCTTGGGGTCAGAAGACAGAGACAGACAAACCAGCAGAGATGGAGAGAAAGACCAACAGGTGCTATGGTAGTGGGGGAGGGAAACCCCAGTGTCCGCCACCTCCCACTCAGATGAGTTCATAGGATAGAGAATGGCGTGGACCGGTCCACTCGCTACAGGAAAAGGGAGGAGTATCTACCCTATTCACTCTAAGGAAGGTGGGGTGCAGGCCACCGCTTGGACCAGCCCATTCCATGTCATGGGGGTGTGTGTGCATACAGATCAGTCCATCCTACTGGGCAAAGGGACTCAGGACAGTCTATTCTAGTGTTTGGGGTGGGGAAGATCATTAGGGTCGATCAATTCCACAGTCGGCGTGGGGGTGGTGGTTTGAGGGCAGGGGGCATCTACCCTGGTCCCTCTTTCAGCACAGGGAATGAAAAAGGGGAAAGGCAGATTTCGGCTATATTCATTTTCTGGGGGTCACCAGTGACTCTGGTGGGTAGCATTTGGAGGGGATCTAGGAAAATTCAGGAACATGGTCCCTCCACATTCTCCAGATCCCGGTGGTTGGGAATGATGGCTCTCAGGGAGTGGGGCAGCCTTCCCTTGGAGGGGGGGGTACCCATCTTTTATTATTAGGGCCCTCAAGATGAGAGGTACTTAGGAGACCCATTGCTCGCTGCAAAGTCTCCATGTCTTGGGGACTTAGGGTTACCCACACTCATTCCAGGGACCTCAGGCTCAGGAGTCTCTCCCTGGATTCAGGCTCCCCTGCCCCAGCCAAGGACCCTGTTTGTTTGTGGTCCCCTAGATCTGGGGCCTGTTGTGGGTTTTTGGTGTTCTCCACCTCTCCAGCCAGGGTCCCCTCATTTCAGGGCCTGCGTCTGGATTTGGAGGGCCGGGGCCTCACTCGCAGTCCCAAGGTCCCCGGGTCCAGGTGGCTGGGCGGAGGGCAGGGCGCAGCCTGGGGTCAGTCCATGCCTCGGTGCAGCTTCAGGTGCCTGGAGAGGTTGCTGAGCGTGATGAAGCCCTTGCCACAGATATGGCAGGGGAAGGGCCGCTCGGTGCCGTGCAGCAGCCGGTGGCGCTTGAGGTAGCACTCGTGGCGGAAAAACTTGCCGCACTCCAGGCACGGGAACGGCTTCTCGCCCGTGTGCACCAGCACGTGCCGCTCCAGGTCGCGCGGCGAGCGGAACAGCTTCTCGCACTCAGAGCAGCCGAAGATCTTCTTGCCGCGGCCCGAGCCGGACGCGGGCTCCCCGGACGCTGGCTCTCCCTCCCGGGCCGCCGCCGCCGCCTCCTCCCCGCCGCCCTCGCCGTGGCTGACCCGCCGGTGCTCCTCCAAGGCGGCCAGCGCCGCGTACAGGGCCCCGCAGTGGCCGCAGCCGTAGGTGGCCGGGCCCGAGTGGGCCTCCAGGTGGCTGGCCAGGGCCGCGGCCGACGCGAAGAAGGTCCCGCAGTCGCACTGGTACAGGGTGTCTTCCGAGGGCTCGGCCGCCGCCGCGGGCGCAGGTGCCTCCCCGCTGCCCTCTGGGAGCAGCCCCCCGAGCTTGGGCACCCCGCCCCCCGCGGGGCGCAGGAGCAGCCGGCCGTCCGAAGCCGCAGCGGGAGGAGCGCCGCCTTCGCCCGCCGCCGCCGTCTCGGGCCCCGCGCCTGCCCCGGCCGCCCAGGCCTGCGCGGGGGGCGCGCCCGGGCCCTGCAGGTCGTGCGTCAGCTTGTGCCGCTCCAGCAGCGCGGGCGCGTTGAAGTCGCGCTCGCAGCGCGGGCACTTGAAGGGCTTCACGTCGGTGTGCGCGGCCCAGTGGGCGGCCAGCTCGCGGCCGTGGTCGAAGCGCCGCGCGCAGGCCCCGCACGCGAACGGGGGCAGCGAGGCTGCGGCCGCGGCTGCCGCCTCCGCCAGCCCCCAGCCGCCCAGGCCCGCGCCCGCCGCCTCCGGGCCCTCTCCGCCGCCGGCCCCCGCGCCCCCGCACACCGAGCAGGGCCCCACATTGCAGCAGACGGAGCAGGGCGCGCTCAGGGCGGGCAGGCCAGGGCCGGGCTGCAGGGGAGAGGGGAGGACCCCGCGGTGCTGGCGCTTGAGGTGGCGGCCCAGGCTGGAGCGTGAGGAGAAGCGGAGCTCGCAGACCAGGCAGCAGTAGGGCTTCTCGCCGGTGTGGACAACCTGGGGGTGCGGGAGGAAGGGCACACGTCAGGGCTGAGAACCTGGCCCGGGCGGCGGATTCCTGGACTCCGGGAGGGCCGCGGCACAAGCTCTCTGTCACACCTACAGGGCCGAGACCTAGGGAAACGCTCGTCTTACCACTCTCTGCTGCGGGTCGCACTGGAATTCCGTCGGTCCTCAAAAAGGCCACATCCTGGCTGGGCGCGGTGGCTCACACCTGTTATCCCAGCACCCTGGGATTGTGTAAGCCTAGGAGTTTTGAGACCAGCCCAGGCAACACAGGGAAATCTTGTCTCTACAAATAATTTTAAAAACTAGCTGGGCACGGCATGATCCTGTGGTCCCAGCTAGCCCGGCGGCTGCGCCTAGGAGATCGTGGCAGTAAGCCTGCACGACAGTGAGACTGCGTCCAAAAAAAAAAAAAAAAAAAAAAAAAAAACAAAAAACACGACCAGGCGCAGTGGCCCACGTCTGTGATCACAGCACTTTGGGAGGCCGACGTGGGTGCATCATTTGCAGACAGGAGTTTGAGACCAGCCTGGCCAACGTGGTGAAACCCTGCCTTTACTACAAATACAAAAATTACCCTGGCCTAGTGGTGAGTATCTATAATCCCAGCTTTTCAGGAGGCTGAGGCAGGAGACTCGCTTAAATCTGGGAGGTGGAGGTTGCAGTGAGCAACCTCACACCACTCACAGAGATCACACCACTGCACTCTAGCCTGGGTGACAGAGCGAGACTCTGTCTCTTAAAAGAGAAAAAAAGAAAGAAAGAAAGAAATCACTACCTGTGGCTAATGGCTACATACTGGACAGTGCAGCTCAAAAGAGACAGCAGCCAGCCCTGGTAGGGTGTGTCTTCTCCCTCCTGGAGCCCTGCTATCCCGAGCCAATTGTCAGGAGCTGAATATAGCCCTCAGGTGTATTAGGGCAGAGAAGTGATTTTGAACCAAATCCGGCTACTGCTCAGAGTCTCCCCCTTGACCACTTTTCACACATAGAGATCCAAAGAATCACTTCCAAATCTAGGAAATCAAATCTCCCAGGAGGCAGTCCAGGAATCTGTATTGCCTCTGAGGCATAGCCAGGCTTGTAGACTATGTAAAACTGTGCCTTAGAGAGGTTTTTGTTTCTGTTTTTAAACTGATATTTGTCCTTGTTGTTGACTTAAGCGTTTGGAATGGCAGAGCGAGATTTGTGGGTGTGGTAATGTCTTCCTGGAGACCCGTGAGGAGAAGGGTGAGGCTGGATGAGTAAGAGTGCACTGCTTGTTAGCAATGTTCGTCAGGGGCACAGACCAGAAGAAGGAACAGGGAGTGTTGTTCATTTGCCTTTCTGGCTCCAGATGCAAGGCACCTGCTGTACAGTAAGGGTGTAGGGATCTCTATCCTCTATGTCCGTAAATTTATTCCACCCTCCTCTTTTAAAGCCTATAGCTCATAGCACACTTAGCGTCTATGTATAACCTGAGTATTGTCTGTCTCCCCACCAGCTAAGGACGATCAAAACAGCGACCACGTTGGTTTTGCTCACAGCTGTATTTCCAGGGTCCGGCACTCTCCAGCCTTCTCCTGAGCTGCACTCTTTCTGCTCCTCTGTGCTCCAGTCACACTGGCCTTCCTCCAGTTCCTCAAAAGCCCGCTTCTCTTCCTTGAAAGTACACATCCTGTTCCCTGGATCCAGACAGCCTCAGTCCCCAGGGGCAGATCATTCCTCACCTGTAAACCATCCTTGACCCCATCCCCGATCCAGACTGCTTCAGATCTCTCTTGCATTAGCCTCAGAATATGGTCACCCTCCATCCTCAGATGTCTCGGCTGCAGCCCAACATTGATTAACCTGGTTGTTCAGTTCACATCTCCCACATTTGACTTGAAGCCATACAAAGGGTGGACTGTATCTGTTTTGTTCCCTTAGATTTTTTTGCTCCAGAGAACGCAGCACTGTACCGAAATACAGTAGCTGCACAACCTACTAGTGGGTGGAGGTGAGGCCTCAGGGGGCTGTGAATTGTTGCATTAAGGAGCTCCCCTTTCATCCTAGGGATCAGGGGATTAAGCAGGGGGTACCTGGTCACTCTGTGATAGATGCAGAAGCTGGACCTGAGGGAGAAAGACAAGAGAAAGGAAACCCCTGAGAAAGCTGGGGCCAACACTCAGGATGTGAGCTCCTGAGCCGAGGCAGACACACGGGGACAGAGAGGACAGCCACGTGTGAAAGACCATAAGGAGATGTCCAGTTCTCTTCGCCCTGGTCGTGCAAGTGCCTGGCACATAGACAGAGTGTGACCTAGCTCGCCCCATCGTCCACCTCCTTCCACCCCAACCCCACAGGCTCCCATCGCTTCCTGGAGCACAGCACGCTCCTTCCTTCCTCAGGGCCTTTGCGCTCGCTGTCCACTGCCTGCAATGCTCTTCCCACAGAGGATTCCGGACGCTGCAGGTCTCCGCTAAACCATCACCTGCCCCAACCTTCCCTGCCCTGTCTGAAGTGGCCCAAAGCTCTCCTCTCTTTACTCCCACACATTGATTTGTATATTTTGTTTGTTTGTTTTGAGGCTGAGTCCTGCTCTCTTGCCCAGGCTGGAATGCAGTGGTGCAACCTCCACCTCCCAGGTTCAGGTGATTTTCCTTGTCTCAGCCTCCCAAGTAGCTGAGTTTACAGGTGCATGCCACCATGCCGGGCCAATTTTTGTATTTTTAGTAGAGATGGGATTTTGCCACATTGGCCAGGCTGGTCTCAAACTCCTAACCTCAGGTGATGCACCCACCTCTGCCTCCCAAAGTGCTGGGATTACAGGCGTGAGCCACCACACTCAGCCAATATTTTGTTCCTTAAAATTTTCCTTCTCGACATTCATCTTTTCCCAGAACATTCTTGCCTGCATGCTTGCTTTATTGCTTCTCGTCTGCCTGGCTACTGACCACCTCTAAAGGAAACTTAAGTTCTCCGAAGGCATGGAATTTGCTTTTACCTTGGCAACACAGCTGTTTGGTGCAGGGAGAGCCCATAGTCACTGAATAAAGGAATTAAGTATATACCTGATAAACCTATTTTTTAAGATGGTAAGGAATGAAGGGATAAACAGTAGATTGCAGATGCTGGTGCCTGCGTGCCAGGTACTGGCAGGGAGAAGGGGAGGGGAGGAGCCTATAGGTGGGGAAATTTACTATGAATGTTCCAGTTCTTGGGTTGCTGGTGATTGAATGAGACCCATCACATGCCTTCATGGGTCAGAGTGCTTTGGCGGGGAGGGAGGGAGGGACATTCTCTAGGGAGGAGACAGGCGCCTGGGCCTTGGGCCAGCTTCAGCTTCCTTTTGCCCAGAGTACAGTGGGTGCGGGATCCCAGCCCAGTCCAGACCAGACCAGGGAGGCCAGCCTGGGGCCGGCCTGTGGGACTCACCTGGTGGTGCAGCAGGCCGGTGGAGTCTCGGAACCCCTTGGGGCAGGCAGAGCAGCGGTAGGGCCGCTCCCCGGTGTGCGAGCGCAGGTGGTTGGCTAGGTTGAAGCTGTGCTTGAAGCCCTTGCCGCAGCGCGGACACGCGTGGGGCTTGAGCGCTGTGTGTCGGGCGAAGTGGCGCCGGAGGTCTGAGCGGTAGCGAAAGCTCTTGCCACACTCACTGCAGTGAAACGGGACCCGGGGGGCGGCAGCAGCGGGCGGTGCTGGTGAGGGGGTTGGGGCCGGGACATCATCCATGGTGACGGGGAATATAGTGGTGTGTGTGGGCTCTCTCTGGAGTAAGGGGAGACAGAGGAGCATGTGAGGGGGTCGGCTCCCATCAGCCCTCTCCTCCCAGGTTCCAGACTCACCACCTGTCCCCTGGGAGATCCTCCCACTGCCCACCTCTGTAAGACACTCTCACTGTTCTTTAAAATCCTCCTACTCTCTTAGAAACCCTTCTTCCTCTGCTCCACTCCTCTGGCAACCTTCCTAATCACTTCCCAGTCTCCTCACCCCAAAGAGCGTTTTCAAGCTTCTCTCACTCTTCGCGAACACACGGCCGCTCCTCTCTGTGCTCCTCTCACGGTAATTTAAGCCTCACCCACTCTTCCTTAAGTCCCGCTTACTCCCCTGAAAGTCCCCCACGCGGATCCCTAAGCATCTTTTATGCTTTGCCAAGCCCTTTTCCCTCCAAAGGGCCCTCACACTCCCCTCTAAGCTCCTCCCACTCCTCTTCCTGGATGACCACTGAGCGAATGGGAGGACAAAGATTTGGAGCGAAGCACACTAGAGAAATCCTTCCCGGAAGACCAGTACCAGTCCTCTAAAATCAGATAATAAAAACTCTTCATCTGCAAAATGGGAATAGTAGTAGTACCTACCTCACAGAGTAGTGGCGAGAATTAAGTAAAATTGTGGCAATCAGTGCTACGTGCCTACTTAAGCTGGTGCACAGCAAAGCCGCAAAGAGTAAGCTGTTTGGATGATGATCATCCCGTAACTGCCTCCCGGTTTTCTCTCCAAGTCCTACCATGCTTGCTAAGTTATTTGACGTCTCCAAGCCCCTCTCTTCTCCACTAAGACCCGCTTCCAAAACTCCAGCCAATTTTTCAAGAAGCCACATCCTGTCTACGACTGTCCGCTGGCCTCCTGTCACCTTCTCAGGACTTCTCCACGAAGTCTATTCCCATTCCCTGCAAGCCCTTTCCACATTCATTATAAAGACCTGGTAGTTGCACTAAACCCCTCCAAATTACACCCCTAAACTCCGCCCTCCTCGCTAGGCCTACCTACTTCTCTAAGCGACACCCCAGACAAACACCACCCCTTCTACTCTAAACTCCACCCTCCTGCTTCTTGGGCTCCCTTTCCCCAACCAGCCTCAATGAATTTCCTTCTACCGCTCAACCGAGGGCCTACCCACCATTCTTTATGAGCCACGCCCCTTTATCAAACCCCACCCCTTTGCCTAAGCCCCTCCCACTTTCCACCCACGCACTCTCCCTCCTCCACGCCCCACCCACTTCTACTTTAAGCTCCGCCCAGCTCAGGCTCCTCCCAGCCCTTGCTCCGCCCCAGCAGCCCCCTAGGCCCCGCCTCCTCTTCCACCCCGCAGCCTGCCGAGTGGGCCCCCCCACGCCCAGTCCACTCCAGGCCCCGGGCCCCGAGAGCCGGCCTTTTGTGCCCCTCCTCCTGCCCCTAAAAGGTGCGGCCCTGGGAGCCCGAGGTGGGGCAAGTCGGGCGGGCCCTGGGGCCAGGCGAGTCCACGACGCTCATACGGAGCGTAGCTCCTGGAGACCCTGGGGGGCCCCGGGAGGCCTGGGAAGTCCGTCGGCTTTCCTCTTTAATTACTTACACCTCCCTCTGGGCGCCGACATTTTGGGCAGCGGGGGCAGCGTCACTTCCACCCGGGGTGCCCCTCGACTTCCGCCTCCCTTCCCCCGCCGTACTCCCCCTTTCTCCCGCCCTCTTGGCTCCCCTTCCTCATCCCCGCCCTTTTCCCTCTTTCCCTTTCCTTTCCCAGCCCTTGAGGTTGGAGAAGCCAGGCCCGCGCCATCTTCGGTGAGGGCAGCGAGAAGGGGCGGGGCTTGGAGACACCCACGGCGCCATACAGACTAAGGGCAAGCAGGTCAGAGCGCGGGGTTTCCTTCGTGGCAACCCTAGCTGAAGCTAACGTAAATGAGAGCAGATACCATTCCTTTTTCTGAGCGGCGGGCCCCTCCCGATTAGCATGTACAGTTGCACTAGGAAAAAAAAAGAGAAAGCGAAGTGCGTCAACCGCAATACACTGCTGGAAAAGACCGGCAACCATCTTATCAACTTAGCCCTCCATGGGGCTTTGAAGCCTGTCCGGTGCCATGTTGATTACGGGCACTGGGCAGCCATTTTCTCGCTCCTCCTCGTTCCGTATATGTCTTTGATTGGGTCACCCGAGTATGTATTTTGTGAGAGGAAAGGCGGTTCGAGGCCGTTGGAGATATGCTGCTGGATTATTTCCCACTGGGAACACACCAGGACCGCTGGTGCGCACGCGCGGCTTGCGGGCGCGCGCGTGACCGGTCCTTAGGACCCAGCGTGTCCCCTTTGTTTCCCACGGGCGCGCGGGCGGGCGGAGAGGGCAGGAAGGGAGGGGCCCCGGCGCTGCTCCGAGGGGCGGGGCCGGCGCCGCGCGCCGCCGCCCCCGCCCCGCCGCCGCTGAGGGGCAGGGCCCCCTCACCCCCGCCCCTTCCCACGCTCCGACCCCGTCGCCCCCGCGCGCGCGCACACTCGCGAGCCCCGGCGACATGCAAATGAGGTACCCGAGAGGCGGGGGGCGCAGGCGGGGTGGGGGGGTGCGGGGGTAGGGGGGGCCGGGCCGCGCGCTCCCGGAGCGCGCTTCCAACACCTGTTCCCGCTCCCGCGCTCGCGCCCGCCTGCGCGCCGACCTCGCGCCCCGCGAAGCCGCCCGGGCGCGCGCGCGCAGACCCCCTTCCTGGCAGCCCCCGCCGCCCGCGGCCCGGGCGGCGCTCATTGGCCACCGCCCCCGCAGGACCCGCCCCGCGCTCGGGCTTCGCAGCTCGGGGGCGGATGGGCTCGCCTGCACCGGGGCGAGGGACCAGGGGAGTCGGGGGGCCCGTATCCCCCTTTCCACCGTTCTAGAGACCGGACTCCTAGACTAGGCCGCCCCGTGGGAGCGAACCATATGGAAAGGTGGTTTGCGCCTCTCTGGACCACAGGCTATGGTGCTATGTGGTGGGGGGGTGCAGGGGGGCACCTGCAGCACCTGCTTCCGGCTGCACCTGCGCCTCCCCTTCCCCTTCGTTACACTCCGGTGCCAGTATTTGAGTGGGCGCTGGGAAGATGGTGGTGGCGTTGATGAAGTTCAGTGTTTACTATGCACCATGCAGTGTGCAAGGGACATCTTAAAGCCCACTATCTCATTCGATTCTCCTGACAACCCTGGTTTATCCACTTTTCAGAGGAGGAAACTGCCTCAGAGAGGCAAAGTCACTTGCTAGCTATAGGCAGAGCTGAGTTCAAACCCAGGACTGAGATCTCATCATGTCCCCTTTCCTCCCTGGGTCCATTTGTTCTCCATTCTCTGGGACATTGGGGTCAGCAAGACCTGTTTGCAGTCTTGGCCCTGCCATTTAGTGGAAGAGCAACTTAGGGAACTGACTTGGCTTTCCCGTGCCTTAGTTTCCCCATCTGCAAAATGACACAGATATGCCCTGTTCAGACAGTTAATGTGAGGCTTAGCTGCTCCTGATAACAGTGGCTAGATGTGTCCTGAAAACTTCTGTGTATTGACACTTTGTGGTATTATGCCCAAGGCATGTCTGGGCAAGTACATAGAACTATGTGTCCCATTTTGCAAAAGTCTTGATTAAGGCTTAGAGAGGCGAACACCTTACCCAAGGCCAGGCAGAGAGTAAAGATTTGAACAAAGGATGTCTGACTCCAGGGCCCATGCCCTTAACATCGCGGATATATTTCCTCATCCAGGAATCAGGGTCAAATATCACCTGGGACCAGTCCTTTTTTTCCTGTCCAGAACCCCTTCCTCACTTCTGCCAGTCAGCAGGGAGGGACGAGATCATTCGTAAGGTCTCTATGGCTCTGGAGTTTGATGGGCTCTCTGTTTCAAGGACCACAGTACTGCCCTGCACCCTCAGTTGGACTCTATCCTGTCTAGAAACTTTTTTTTTTTTTTTTTTTTTTTTTTGTAGACAGAGTGTCGCTCAGAGTCTCGCTCTGTAGCCAGGCTGGAGTGCAGTCCCTTGATCTCGGCTCACTGCAACCTCCGCCTCCCTGGTTCAAGTGATTCTCCTGCCTCAGCCTCCCGAGTAGCTGGGTCTACAGGTGTGCGCCACCACGCCCAGATAATTTTTGTATTTTTAGTAGAGACGGGGTTTCACCATGTTGGCCAGGATGGTCTTGAACTCCTGACCTTGTGATCCGCCCACCTCAGCTTCCCAAAGTGCTGGGATTACAGGTGTGAGCCACTGCACCTGGCCAGAAGTGGTTTTTTTTGGTTTTGGCTCATGTTGATTTTGAACTTTTAGATCCAGGAGGAGGGTTAGGGAGGCATGGGGATGCGTGGTGGAGCTCAGGGAAGTGCCTGTTTATCAGCTGATACAAGATCATCTCACCGTTTTACCCACCAGCATAGCTAAAATTGTGTATCTGGATGAATATCAACTACACCCTTGTCAAGAGACTTGGAGAGAGGGATGGGCGAGGTGTTGGGGGACACAGGGGTGCTCTAGACCCTGTGGGCACTGACTCTGCCCCTCTCTCCTCTTAGCTGGCTCCAGTGCCCAGACCTAAGCCCCCCACTGCTCAATGGACACCCCCAGCCCAGACCTGTTGCCTTCGCCTTTGCCCGGGGAGGAAGAGAAACCTCTGGCCTTACCTCCTCCTGTTCCCCGGGGCCGCCGAGGCCGTCGTCCTGGGGGAGCCACCTCAAATCGGACGCTCAAGGCCTCCCTCACTCGCAAGCGGGGCCGCCCCCCCAAGTCAGGGCAGGAGCCCCCGCTGGTGCAGGCGCAGGGGGTCACAGCCCCAGTGGGCAGCAGTGGCGGGAGCGACCTCCTCCTGATCGATGATCAGGGTGTACCCTATACGGTCTCTGAAGGGTCAGTGGCTGCGTGTGAAGGCTCCGGCCCCAAGAAGGCCCCGCACTTCTGCCCGGTGTGCCTTCGGGCCTTCCCCTACCTCTCCGACCTGGAGCGCCACAGCATCTCGCACTCAGAGTTGAAGCCGCACCAGTGCAAAGATTGCGGCAAGACCTTCAAGCGCTCCAGCCACCTGCGGCGGCACTGCAACATCCATGCTGGCCTGCGACCCTTCCGCTGCCCGCTGTGCCCCCGCCGCTTCCGCGAGGCGGGCGAGCTGGCGCACCACCACCGCGTGCACTCGGGGGAGCGCCCCTACCAGTGCCCCGTCTGCCGGCTGCGCTTTACAGAGGCCAACACGCTCCGGCGCCATGCCAAGCGCAAGCACCCAGAGGCCATGGAGGTACCCCTGTGTGCATCAGACCCAGAGCCTGAACCATCGTGGGACGAGGAGGGCATCCCGGCCACAGCAGGGGCCGAGGAGGAGGGGGAGACCGAGGGAAAGGGGGAACCTGCCTGACCCCCACCCCCTGCCATCACTCCCTGGGCCAGGCTTAGATCAGGGAGTTTGGCAGGTGTTGGGCCTGGGCCAGGCGGCTGGGACACGCTTGTTTCTGATGGTCTTCCCGTTGTGGGAGCAGGCGGAGGGTGGACACCTAAACTTCTGGGTCCAGCTGCCTTCTGCACCCCTCCCCCAGACTAACAGACCCTTGGAGGCAGGGGCTGTAGAAATAAATCTCTGCCTGCTGGCTGCCTGTGTGTGTTCCCTGCCGGCATGCCATCCTCTCCTGCTTTCAAATGTTCTTCCTCGGCTACACCATCCTGCCCGGGGTGCCGGAAATTGGAGAGGAACCCTCGACCTGTGCCTCATGAGCGTGGTGCTCGTGGAAGAATGATTTCTGGGGGAGCCTTGGTCCCTTTCCCGTCCCCATCAGACCCCAAAGTCCAGTGGTCCCTCGGTATCCGTGGGGAATTAGTTCCACGACCCCCGCCGATACCAAGATCTGAGCATACTCAAGTCCAGCACTGGGCCCTGCGGAACCCGCGGATTTAGGAATATCGGCCCTCCGTATACTGTATGTTCCATCGGTATTCGGGTGAAAAAAGTCTGCCTCTCAGGGGACCTGCAGTTCAAAGCCGTGTTGTTCAAGGGTCAGCTGTATTCCCAATATACATCCAATCTAAAACATTGAACCTTCCATGAAAACCTGACCCTAGGTCCCACCCCCTCTATCCTAGCCAAATTCCTAGAAATTCTGCAGGCATTTTGCCCCAGCTCCTTGTCCTGAGAACCTACTCTTGCGAAGAAAAAATTGAGACGAACGTGTGAGCAGGACTGATGGTCTGGGTAAGGTTTAGAGATAAGGGGTGTGGCTTAGGGCGGGGCTAAGGAGCTACGGTTGGGGCTGAGACAGAGGGGCAAGGCTTATTGGGCAGTCAGGCAGGGAACTGGGAGGAGCTTAGGAGAAGGAGGTTAGAGTTGGGTGGAGCTTAAATAGGCCTAGGGGTTGCTCCGCAGAAAGTGACAGGTTTAGAGGAAATGTGATAGGGCTTATCTTCTAGAGTACGGGCCTGGAGATGGGGAAGAACCGGAGGAACTGTGTGAGGGTGGGGCGAGGAGGAAGGATTATTATATATATATATTTTTGGGACAGGGTCTCGCTCTGTCACCCAGGCTTGAATGCAGTGGCCTAATCACCGCGCACTGCAGCCTCGACCTCCCAAGCTCAAACAACCCTCCCACTTCAGCCTCCGGAATAGCTGAGACTTCAGGCGCGTGCCAGCATACCTGACTAATTTTTCTGTTTTTTTTTGTAGAGACGGGGTTTTGCCATATTGCCCAGGGTGGTCTTGAATTCCTGTGCTCAAGTAATCCGCCTGCCTTGGCCTCCCAAAGTGCTGGGATTACAGGCGTGAGCCACCACGCCAGGCCAAGAGGACTGATTTTAAGGTGAGGGGCAGAGCTTATAATTATTCAGCTCTTAGGTGGACGTGGTTCAGGGCCAGGGGCCGGGGCTTAACGGAGAAACTTCTAGGGAACAGGGTATAAGGAGAGGTGAGACTAGGAGAAGGTGCTGAGGGGTGTGCACGACTGCTATGGAGGCTGTGGGGAGAGAAGTTAAGTATCTGAGAAAGAAGTAACTAAGGGAAGTTCCCGGGAGGAGGGAAGCTTAGCAAGAGGGGCTGAATGGGCTTGGGTTTGGCTGCTTGGGATGGGGCTGAGTTGGGAGCGGGGATTATATTGATCATGTGAGGCGGGCAGTGTCAAGTGTGGTAAAGCCATCCATGGCTCTTGACCAGCATGCAGCAGAATCAGCCGAAGAGTATCCCAAAACACGGATCCCTAGACTCCCACCCCCGGGGGCTTTTATTCTGCATGGTCTGAGCAGGCAGCCGGATACTGATATTGATGCTGCTGGCCTCCCAACTGTCCTTGACAACCATCGATTTAAAAACTGCTTTACGGCCGGGCGCGGTGGCTCAAGCCTGTAATCCCAGCACTTTGGGAGGCCGAGGCGGGTGGATCACGAGGTCAAGAGATCGAGACCATCCTGGTCAACATTGTGAAACCCCGTCTCTATTAAAAATACAAAAAAGTAGCTGGGCGTGGTGGCACGTGCCTGTAATCCGAGCTACTCAGGAGGCTGAGGCAGGAGAATTGCCTGAACCCAGGAGGCGGAGGTTGCGGTGAGCCGAGATCGCGCCATTGCACTCCAGCCTGGGTAACAAGAGTGAAACTCCGTCTCAAAAAAAAAAAATAAATAAATAAAAAATAAAAACTGCTTTACAGGTGGGAGGGTACTCAAAAGTCACGAGGTGCAGCTTAAATGCTATAGGGTGAAGGGGCGGGGCTTACATGCAAGGGGAGTGGTTCTGTATGGGGGCTGGGACGAAGGGAGCGTGGCTTAGGGATGGGTGAAGTTCCAGAGAGGAGCTTGGAGAGCGGGCGGAACAGGAGAAACTGCTTGACGGCTAGGGGAAGAAGACAAATTTTGAGACAGTGGGGGACTCAGAATTACGCTGTGAGATGGGCGTGGTTCAGGGCCAGGGGGTGGAGCTTCAGTGTGAGACTGGAGCTGGAGGTGTGGCTTAACCGGACGCCCAGAGCGTGTAGGTGGTGCCCTGAGAAGAGGCGGGCACACAAAGCGCAGGCGCACCTAGCTCAGCTCGTCCACCGGAAGCGGCCGAGCTTTCACCGCTCGCGTCCCCGAGTCAGTGCGCAAGCGCACTTCCCCCCTCCTGCTCCCCGCCACCGCCTTCTCTTTCCGATCCTCCACGCCGGCGCCTCGGGAACGGGCGCGACTTCCGCTTCCGGGCGGGCAGGCGGGCGGCACGGGGCTGCCGGGGAGGGGGGGAGGGGGCGGCACTTCCGGTCGGGCCCTCGGGTCTCCCCGGAGCGGCGGCGCCTCCTCCGCCTCCTCGGCCTCCTCCCGGCGGAGACCCCGGCGCCGGTGAGTGACGGGGTGCGTGGCCCGGGGGCCCGGGTGCAGCGTGGGCGGGGGGCCCCGCCCTGGCCGGTTCTGTTCCCCAGAGTGTCCCCCCACCCCTAGCAAGTCAGTGCAGCTCCCGCCCGGCCCTTGCCAGGGAACCCCCAATCACTGCTCCCCCGTAAGACCACTGCAGATAGCTCCCCCTTGAACGCCCCCAGCTAGGATGACTGCCAAAGCGCTTTCATTCGTGGCGATCCCCTAAACGGCTGCCAGGCCCCCCAACCGATACCTCCTCCTAGGATCCCCTCCACACAGCGCCCCCGTCATTGCTTCCTCAGGTCAGCCTCCAGATGCCATCAGCGTTGCCCCTCCCCGTGTCGGGCAGCTGCTCGTGGACCCTCTTCTTTAAGTGTCCTCTATAGAATTCTCCCCAGAGTGTTGCCTCAGTGATTTGCAGCAGAACTGCCCCCCCCCCCGCGTTATCTCTGTTCATACACAGCAACAGCCCCCAGTGGCCCTGACCACCTCCCCCTCCAGCTGAACGCCTTTTCGTGGGTGTGAAAATACTTTCTATTCTGGTCAGCACCAAGAATGCCTCTTTTCCTTCTGCAGATCATCCAGTGATTCCCCTTAAGAATACATACCCCTTTCAAAGCCACCCCCCCGACACACCGCGGCGGGACAGCTCCCTCTAGAGTTCTTTCACACCCATATCCTCTCCCCATTCAGGTAGAAATATCTGCCTGCTTAGCTCCCGGCTCCCATGAAACACTCCTGTACCTCCTCTCACCCCACCCTCGCCATGGTCAGCCCCTGTCTTCATTACTTCTGCCACAGAAGTGTTCCGCAGTGAGGCCGCGAGGCCTTTCCTCCCAGGGTGTTACTCATCCTCTTCCCATGGCATGAACAACTCTTGCCCTGACCTGCAACTTCTTACCCAGTTCTCTGCCCTCGTCCTGGACTGTCTAGGGAAGACCCTTGACTTAACTAGGGTGTGACTTATTTCCTTTTAGGCATGCATTCTTCACTGAATGAGCATTGGCCATTCTAGCTCTGTTCCCCAGAGCGTCCCCCAACCCCTAGCAAGTCAGTGCAGCTCCCGCCCGGCCCTTGCCAGGGAACCCCCAATCACTGCTCCCCCGTGAGACCACTGCAGATAGCCGTGAAGGGGAGAGGTACCCAGCCTTCTCATTGTGCAGGGTTTTACTGTCTAGTCGATCAGAAACAAGTCAACAAAGATATGTGGGGTTTTGTGGGTTCTCTCAGAGCCTGATGAACTACTTTAAAGGTGAAACCCGTAGCCGGGCGCGGTGGCTCAAGCCTGTAATCCCAGCACTTTGGGAGGCCGAGGCGGGTGGATCACGAGGTCAAGAGATCGAGACCATCCTGGTCAACATGGTGAAACCCCGTCTCGACTAAAAATACAAAAAATTAGCTGGGCATGGTGGTGCGTGCCTGTAATCCCAGCTACTCGGGAGGCTGAGGCAGGAGAATTGCCTGAACCCAGGAGGCGGAGGTTGCAGTGAGCCGAGATCGTGCCATTGCACTCCAGCCTGGGTAACAAGAGCGAAACTCCATCTCAAAAAAAAAAAAAAAAAAAAAAAAAGGTGAAACCCGAATTACAAGAAGCAGTTTAGCCATCCAGAGATCTGGGTGAACAGGCAGCAGAAACAGCAAGTGAGAAGGCCCTGATGTGGCTGTGACCGTGGGGACTGGGGGAGCAGCAGGGGAGGCTGGTGAGAGTGGAGTGGAAGATTGAAGGGAAGAACAAGAGGAAGGAAGGTTTGGTCTCAAAAAGGCTTTGGAGGTGAGGGCACTGGGATACATTATCTAGCCTTTTTGAGCTCTACCAAGCCCAGAATGATGTTCTTTCATTCATATGTTCATTCATAAACACTTGTTGAACACTTGTTTAATGAGTACCTACTTTACATTGGGGGTGCAACAGAGAACAAAATAGACAAGAATCCCTGTCCTCATAGGGTCGATATGCTAGTTGAGGGGAGAGATGATTAAAACACAAGATACAGGCCAGGCAAAGTGGCTCGTGCCTGTCATCCTACCAGTTGGGAAGGCCAATATGGAAGGATCGCTGGAGGCCAGGAGTTCAAGACGAACCCCTGGCAACATAGACCCTGTTTTTACAGAAATAATAATAATAAAAAAGCTAGGTGTGGTTGGTATGCACCTGCAGTCTCAGCTATTCAGGGGGCTGCGGTGGGAGGACTGCTTGAGCCCAGGAGTTCTAGGCTGCAGTGCAAAAAATTAAAATAAAGACCAAGAGTATATTTGCATGTTAAAAGTAAAATATCAGGGGAAAAAAAATACCGGGATAGAGATGGAGATGGGGAACAGTGGCATTAGGATGGCCTCTCCCAGGATATTCCTATGTCTTGTCATCTTGTCCTTCCCAAAACCCACACACCAAAAAGTTGTACAAGGGTATCAATTCCCCTTCTCCTGGACAACTGTGGCCCACTGAGGACTGCTCTTAAAAGCTCCCCAGCCCCAGGAGTGAAGTGATTAGGAGGATGAGCCCTGGATTCGATTAGGATTCACAGCTTTGAGCACACCACTCCCTCCTTTCCTAGTCTCATTCATTCACTTCTTCAAACAAAAACGTATCAAGCCAGGAACTGTTGTAAGTCCCGGGGATAGAAGAGTGAGCAAGAGAGAAAACTCCTTGCCTTTGTGAAGCCGATCTGGATGGGGAGGCCAGCAAAATCAAGGCAGAGAAGTCAACTATACAATGTTATAAACGATGATGAGCAGGAAGGAGAGAAATGAACAGAGTAGGGGAGATCCAGATGTGGGCCTGGGTGACAGGTAACTGGTTACTGAGAGGCTCATTGAGAAGACAGCTGAGCAATGATGGGAAGGAAGTGAAGGGGTGAGTGAGGTGGATGCCTGAGAGTCAGTATTACAGGCAGAAGCAACAGCCAGTGCAAAGGCCCTGGGGCAGGAATGGAGCGGGCACATTGGAATAGCAGCCAGGAGACTGTGGGGACTGTGTAGGTCATTGTAGGGACTGTGGCTTTTGAGCAAGATGGGGTTACTGTTTGATTTTGGACAGAGGGTGGACATGGTTTGGCTATAGTCCTCCTGTCAGTAAAATGGGAATAATATTAATACTTAAAAGTTTGTTGTGAAGTTTGAATGAAACAAGCCACGTAAGATACCTAAGCACAATGTTTGTTAGAGTTCAGCAAATGTTGGTGACTTGTCCTGGTCTTGCATCAAGCCAAGAGACTTGGGATTAGGTGGCAGGAAGGTGGGTGGAGCAATGCATGTATCCAGTATAAAGTGGGATGGGGATCCTCCTTCATTTTGGAGAGAGAAATATTGAAAGACAGCATGAGATAGACTCTGGAGCCTTGCTGCCTTTCTTCAGCCACTGGTCCTGCCATGAGTTTACAATGTGACTTGGGAAGTTTGTTTATTGATTGACTGATTGACTGAGACGGAGTCTTGCAGTGGGCTAGAGTGCAGTGGCACTATCTCAGCTCGCTACAACCTCTGCCTCCCAGGTTCACACTATTCTCCTGCCTCAGCCTCCTGAGTAGCTGGGATTACAGGCGCACACCACCACACCAGCTAATTTTTTTTTTTTTTTTCGAGACGGAGTTTTGCTCTTGTTACCCAGGCTGGAGTGCAATGGCGCGATCTCGGCTCACCGCAACCTCCGCCTCCTGGGTTCAGGCAATTCTCCTGCCTCAGCCTCCTGAGTAGCTGGGATTACAGGCACGTGCCACCATGCCCAGCTAATTTTTTGTATTTTTAGTAGAGACGGGGTTTCACCATGTTGACCAGGATGGTCTCGATCTCTCGACCTCGTGATCCACCCGCCTCGGCCTCCCAAAGTGCTGGGATTACAGGCTTGAGCCACCGCGCCTGGCTTAATTTTTTTTTTTTTTTTTTTTTGAGACGGAGTTTCGTTCTTGTTACCCAGGCTGGAGTGCAATGGTGCGATCTCGGCTCACCGCAACCTCCGCCTCCCAGGTTCAGGCAATTCTCCTGCCTCAGCCTCCTGAGTAGCTGGGATTACAGGCACGTGCCACCATGCCCAGCTAATTTTTTGTATTTTTAGTAGAGGCGGGGTTTCACCATGTTGACCAGGATGGTCTCGATCTCTCGACCTCGTGATCCACCCGCCTCGGCCTCCCAAAGTGCTGGGATTACAAGCTTGAGCCACCGCGTCCGGCCAATTTTTTGTATTTTTAGTAGAGATGGGGTTTCACTCTGTTGGCCAGACTGGTCTTGAACTCTTGACCTTGTGATCAGCTCACCTCAGCCTCCTAAAGTGCTGGGATTATAGGTGTGAACCTGGCCCTTATTTATTTTTGAGAGATGGAGTCTCACTCTGTTGCTCAGCCTGGAGGGCCTGGAGTGAGCTCACTGCAACCTCTGCCTCCTGGGTTCAATCAGTTATCCTGCCTCAGCTTCCCAAGCAGCTGGACCTACAGGTGTTCACCACCAGGCCCAACTGATTTTTGTCTTTTTAGTAGATATGGGGTTTCATTATATGTTGGCCAGGCTGGTCTCGAACTTCCGACCTCAGGTGATCCACCCACCTCAGCCTCCGGAAGTGCTGGGATTACAGGCATGAGCCACTGCACCTGGCCTGACTTTGGAAGTTTAATTTACGTATCTGGCTCTCAGTCTCTTCCTTTGTATTTCAGAGTCAAAAATTGTAACCATCTCCTACGGTTAGTGGGAGGATTGGTTGAGTAAACACACATAAGAGCTAGAAGAGTACTGGGCTGGTAGAAAGCACTCATCCAGTGTTATATGTCACTTTATGTTTGACAAACTAGAAGTTTGTCACCAGGCAGCTTTGTTGCAGCAGAATGGCCCATCATGCTTCTCTCCACATAAAACCCTCCTATGACATCCCCACTTAAAGACACCTGTTTAGGCCTGGCCTGGTGGTTCAGGCGTGTAATCCCGGCACTTAGCACTTTGGGAGGCCGAGGTGGGTGGATCACAAGGTCAGGAGTTCAAGACCAGCCAGGCCAATGTGGTGAAACCCCGTCTCTACTAAAAATACAAAATTAGCTGGGCATGGTGACATGTGCCTGTAATCCCAGCTGCTCAGGAAACCTGAGGTAGGAGAATCGCTCAAATCCCGGAGGCGGAGGTTGCAGTGAGCCCGGGTGACAGAGAAGACGCCATCTCAAAAACAAAACAAAACAAAAAAACCCACCAGTTTAGGCGTGAGTCATATGAAAGAGGAAATGTCTCTGGTTTCCTAGTGGAAATTATCATGAGCCTGATCAATTCTGTCCACCACTGATGTATCCCCTCCAGCATCTACACACCCTGCCCTCAGTGACATTCCTCATGACATCATTTCCCCAGGAATCCCTGGGATCACTGAGCTCCATTTCTGCTAAATGTCCCCCTCATGACATCATTTCCCCAGGAATCCCTGGGATCACTGAGCTCCATTTCTGCTAAATGTCCCCCTCCGTTCCTCTGGGAGTTTGGTCAGCTTAGTCTCATCCTTTCATTCCACAAATATCAAGATAGACATTCCCAGCTATGCATTTCCCTCTGAGCACTGCTTTTGCTGCACCTCCTCAGCTTTGGCACGTTGTTTTCATTTTCATTAATTGCTAAGCATTTTCTCTTTTTTTGAGACAGAGTTTCGCTCTTGTCACCCAGGCTAGAGTGCAGTGGCACGGTCTCAGCTCACTCCAACCTCTGCTTCCCAAGTTCAAGCGATTCTCCTGCCTCAGGTTCCCAAGTAGCTGGGATTACAAGCATGTGCCACCAAGCCTGGCTAATTTTTGTATTTTTAGTAGAGACAGGGTTTCACCATGTTGGCCAGGCTGGTCTTGAACTCCTGACCTCAGATGATCCTCCTGCCTCGGCCTCCCAAAGTGCTGGGACTACAGGCGTGAGCCACTGTGCCCAGCCAGCATTTTCTAATGTATGATTTCTTTGTGGACCCACTAGCGATGTAAGGAAAGCAGTGTTTCATTTTCACATATCAGTAAATATTTGCCAAGCACCCACACTGTGCCAGGTGCTATGCTAAGTGCTGGGGTCACAGAGCTAGACAGGTCAAGTCCTTGCTTTGCTAGAGAGGGGCCAAACAGTAAACACACAGAAAAGGAGTATCAATAAGTTGCTGGTAATGACGATGATGAATAACCTACAGCTGATGAGGGGCTAGAGAGTGATGGGGTGGGGAGTGCTGAGTAGAGGCCCAAGGAGCCTCCTGTGGGAGCCTTGTTGAAATCTGGGGAAGAACATTCCAGGCAGAGGAGAGCGTAATCACCACCGTCTCCTACCAGGCCTCTCGTATAGACACCCCTTATAGCCCAGAGGACACCTCTCAATGAAGCTCTTATCCTGATAGTTCCACCCGCACCTTCCTTCACTCTGGGAACAATCCCCGGTGAAACACCACCGTGGGGCCAGGGGTGTGAATGGGGTTCAAGCCCACTGATCCAGACTGTTACCCTGTGACTACTGGCAACTCACTTTGCCTCTCTGTGCCTTCATTTTCTAATTTATCCAGTGGCGGTAACAGCTGCTCCTATTTCTTAGCTTCCAGGCTGTGGCACCCTAGGGCTGCTATGGCGCCTGGGGGCTGCTCAGCTGCTCCTATTAGAGTTGTGGGGAGTCAGTGAATTAATACGTGTAACGTGCTTAGAACAGTGGCTGGCCTCTAGTAAATGCCCAATCGGTGGTAGCTGTGATTGATGTGTGGTCTGATGGAGGCAAGCTAGGTCAGTGGCTTCTTTCCCCAAACACTCTTCCCTCCCTCCCCACAGCACCCTAAGGCACCCGCTGCTCCCTGCATCCTTACGGCCTGCGCTTTCCTCCCTGTCCGGTCAGCCCCCTCCAGAGCTGTCTCCCCAACTTAGGTTTCACCTACAGCCTTCCAATTACCACCCTAGCCACGCCTGTCCTCTTTCCGGAGATCAGATTAAACCGAGGGGGTGTGAAGGGCATGGGATGTTGAGTCTTGTCCAAGGACAAGGACACCCGGAGCTGGAGACTAAAAATATCTCACTCCAGGATGGCGTTTGGGGTGGAAGAGACACTCACCCCTCACCTGTGGGAGGAGAGAGCAGCCCGATGGATAGAGGATAAAGGGCCCAGGCCTGGGTAGGAATCCCCTTGACCCCTGCAGTGGTCTGGGCCCCCATCAGGTAGGGATGATGAACAGGAAGCGGGTCAGACCTCACAGGCCCTTCTCCGACTGACCCTGCCCCCACTCTGGAGGTGTTTCCCCATGCCAGCGGGAAGAGTAAGCTCAGAGATCAGTTACGGGAGCTGAGGTTCTGGTGTGCTGTGGGGTACACACATGGATACCTGCAATCTGGAATGAAAAGTCGGCTAAAGGAGGCACCAGAGAATGATGCCAGGGTGGGGGGGTGTCAGGAGAAGCTCCACTAAGGGCGAGGACAGGAACTCAAGTCTGTTGCTCGGCTCAGCCCAGGTGTGTGGTGTCATGGATGGTACAGATACCTCAGGGGGTTGAATGCATTCTGCTGATGCGTGTGTTTCATTTCCTTCTGTTCCAACCCCCTTCAATCTCCCTGTGGTATAGAGTTCCCCCCCCCCCCAGTCCGATTTTAAACATGGAGAAAGTGTGGATCCCAGTGGAGATGGCATTTAAACCGAGCTCTTTCCAAGCCCAGGGTCTGTGTGTTTTGACTGCATCAGGCCACCTTCTGACTACATGCCAGCCCCCTTGCTGAATTTATTTCTCCCAGGCAAGCAAATTCTCCTTTCCACTTTGTATTAGTATTAAAAGAGTGCACCCCCCCGCCATACTGACTTCTTTTTCAGCTCTCTAGGCTTGTCCTGACTTCCTTATTTCTACTGCTAGTAGTAACAATGATAACAGTATCATATCTTCTTTTTTTTAATTTTTAGAGCCGGGTCTTGCTCTGTCACCCAGGCTGGAGTGCAGTGTTGTGATCACAGCTCATTGTAGCCTCCATCTCCTGGGCTCAAGCAGTTCTGCTGTCTCAGCCTCCCAAAGTGCTGGGATTACAGGTGTGACCCACTGCACCCCACTGACACCTTCTATGTACTGAGTGCTTACAGAGTGCCAGGAACCGCCCCCCTCAGAGCCTTACACATAGGAGCGTGTTGAAGCCTCACAAACCTGTGAGGTAGGCAGGTGCTTTGTCCCCATTTGAAGATGAGGAAGTGGAGGCACAGAAAGGTTCTGTCACCTGCCCATGGCCACACAGCTAGAAAGTGGCAGGGCTTACATTTGAACCTGGCAGTCTGGCACCAGAGTCTTCCGTCCTAATCGTGCTGACAGAAACTCTTATTACCCTTAACATTATCCTCACTTTAGGATCAAACCTGAAGGGATGAGGATTGCGGGCTGGGGTGGGGGAGGGAGCAGGAGTATGCAGAGAAGCAGAGGGTCTGAGAGGGTTTGGAAAGAACCCAGTCCAGAAGCCCCCAGGGTGTTGGGAGAATTGGAGTCTGAGAAGGAGAGAAAGTAGAGGGCTCCGACCGGGGGCGGTGGCTCACAGCCATGATCCCAGCAGTTTAGGAGGTGGAGGCGGGAGGATCACTTGAGGCCAGTAGTTTGAGACCAGCCTGGGCAACAAAGCAAGACCCTGTGTCTACAAATAATAGAGGGCCTGCAGGTGGTGTGGAGGAGAGGGTCTGGGGATGGCAGCAAAGCTGTCATGACCCCAGAAAAGATGGGAAGGAGGGTGGGAGTTGAGAACACAGGGAAGGTGAAGGCGAATCGGAGAGGCAGGGGGCAGGAGCCAAGAGGAAGGGCTGCCCTTCGGGGTGGACAGGCAGAGGGACTAGAAGCCCAAACCTGGCAGGTGAGGGGGTGATCCCCACCTGGATGGATGGGGGGGTGCATAGCTCCCTTCACCTGTGGGGAGACCCAGCGCCCCGGCCGTGTCCTCAGCCCCCTCCTCCTCTTCACAGGGTCTCGAGTCTCCTACTTGCCGGAGATGGAGGCGAACCCAGTGGGCAGCGGAGCCGGGGGAGGCGGGAGCGGCGGCCTTGGGGGCGAGGACGGGGTGCACTTCCAGAGCTACCCCTTCGACTTCCTGGAATTCCTCAACCACCAGCGCTTCGAGCCCATGGAACTGTATGGGGAACACGCCAAGGCGGTGGCGGCCCTGCCCTGCGCCCCCGGCCCCCCGCCGCAGCCCCCGCCGCAGCCGCCGCCCCCGCAGTATGACTACCCGCCCCAGTCCACCTTCAAGCCCAAGGCGGAGATGCCCTCCTCGTCCTCCTCGTCCTCCTCGTCCTCCTCCTCGTCCTCCTCATCCTCCTCTTCGTCCTCTTCCTCTTCTCAAGCCAAGAAGCCGGATCCGCCCCTGCCGCCCGCCTTCGGGGCCCCCCCTCCTCCCCTCTTTGATGCTGCTTTTCCCACCCCACAGTGGGGCATCGTGGACCTCTCGGGACACCAGCACTTGTTTGGGAACCTGAAGCGAGGTGGGCCCGCATCCGGGCCGGGGGTGACGCCCGGGCTGGGCGCTCCTGCGGGGGCCCCAGGGCCACTGCCCGCCCCCTCACAGACCCCGCCGGGACCCCCCGCGGCGGTGGCCTGCGACCCCACCAAGGACGACAAGGGCTACTTCCGGAGGCTGAAGTACCTGATGGAGCGGCGCTTCCCCTGCGGCGTGTGCCAGAAGTCCTTCAAGCAGTCCTCGCACCTGGTCCAGCACATGCTGGTGCACTCGGGAGAGCGGCCCTATGAGTGCGGTGTCTGCGGCCGCACCTACAACCACGTGTCCAGCCTCATCCGCCACCGCCGCTGCCACAAGGACGTGCCCCCGGCCGCGGGGGGCCCGCCCCAGCCCGGTCCCCAGCTCCCGCAGCTGGGCCTCCCGGCGCCCGCTGCCAGCACTGCGGCTGCCACCTGCCGCCCCCTCCACCGTGTCCTCGGGTCCTCCCCCCACGCCCACGGCTCCCACCCCCTCCGCAGACGGTAGCGCTGCCCCTGCTGGTGTTGGGGTGGCCCCTCCCGCCACCGGGGGTGGCGACGGCCCGTTCGCCTGTCCGCTCTGCTGGAAGGTTTTCAAGAAGCCCAGTCATCTGCACCAGCACCAGATCATCCACACAGGCGAGAAGCCCTTCTCCTGCTCCGTGTGCAGCAAGAGCTTCAACCGCAGGGAGAGCCTGAAGCGCCACGTGAAGACGCACTCCGCGGACCTGCTGCGCCTGCCCTGCGGCATCTGCGGGAAGGCCTTCCGCGACGCCTCCTACCTCCTCAAGCACCAGGCGGCCCACGCGGGCGCGGGGGGACCTCGGCCCGTGTACCCCTGCGACCTGTGTGGCAAGTCCTACTCGGCGCCGCAGAGCCTGCTCCGCCACAAGGCCGCCCACGCCCCGCCCGCTGCCGCCCCCGCCGCCGAGGCCCCCAAGGGTGGGGCGGCCTCCGCTCCGCAGCCCCCGCCCACCTTCCCCCCGGGCCCGTACCTCCTGCCCCCCGACCCTCCCGCCACCGACAGTGAGAAGGCGGCCGCGGCAGCTGCAGCGGTGGTGTACGGCGCCGTGCCCGTCCCGCTCCTGGGCGCCCATCCGCTGCTGCTCGGCGGCGCTGGGACCAGTGGGGCGGCAGGCTCGGGCGCCAGCGTCCAGGGAAAGACGTTCTGCTGCGGCATCTGCGGGCGCGGCTTCGGCCGCCGCGAGACCCTGAAGCGTCACGAGCGCATCCACACGGGCGAGAAGCCCCATCAGTGCCCCGTGTGCGGGAAGCGCTTCCGTGAATCCTTCCACTTGAGCAAGCACCACGTGGTGCACACGCGCGAGCGGCCATACAAGTGTGAGCTGTGCGGCAAGGTCTTTGGCTACCCTCAGAGCCTCACCCGCCACCGCCAGGTGCACCGGCTCCAGCTGCCCTGCGCCCTGGCCGGGGCCGCGGGCCTCCCCTCCACCCAGGGCGCCCCGGGGGCCTGTGGGCCGGGGGCCTCGGGCGCGGCCGCAGGGCCCGCGGATGGGCTGAGCTACGCCTGCTCGGACTGCGGCGAGCACTTCCCGGATCTCTTTCACGTCATGAGCCACAAGGAGGCCCACATGGCAGAGAAGCCATACGGCTGCGACGCCTGCGGCAAGACCTTCGGCTTCATCGAGAACCTCATGTGGCACAAGCTGGTCCACCAGGCCGCCCCTGAGCGCCTGCTCCCGCCCACACCCGGCGGCACGCAGCCCCCAGACGGCTCCAGCGGCACGGATGCAGCCAGTGTGCTGGACAACGGGCTGGCAGGGGAGGTGGGGGCAGCCGTGGCGGCGCTAGCTGGGGTATCCGGCGGCGAGGACGCAGGCGGGTCAGCAGTGGCGGGGGCCGGCGGGGGTGCCAGTTCAGGCCCGGAGCGCTTCAGCTGTGCCACGTGCGGCCAGAGTTTCAAGCACTTCCTGGGTCTCGTGACTCACAAGTACGTGCACCTGGTGCGACGGACCCTGGGCTGCGGCCTCTGCGGCCAGAGCTTCGCGGGCGCCTACGACCTGCTCCTGCACCGCCGCAGCCATCGGCAGAAGCGGGGCTTCCGCTGCCCGGTGTGCGGGAAGCGCTTCTGGGAGGCGGCCCTGCTGATGCGCCACCAGCGCTGCCACACGGAACAGCGGCCATATCGGTGCGGCGTGTGCGGCCGAGGCTTTCTGCGCTCCTGGTACCTGCGGCAGCACCGCGTGGTGCACACTGGCGAGCGGGCCTTCAAGTGTGGTGTGTGCGCCAAGCGCTTCGCGCAGTCTTCCAGCCTGGCCGAGCACCGGCGGCTGCACGCCGTGGCCCGGCCCCAGCGCTGCAGTGCCTGCGGCAAGACCTTCCGCTACCGCTCCAACCTGCTGGAGCACCAACGGCTGCACCTGGGCGAGCGCGCCTACCGCTGCGAGCACTGCGGCAAGGGCTTCTTCTACCTGAGCTCGGTGCTGCGCCACCAGCGCGCCCACGAGCCGCCGCGGCCCGAGCTCCGCTGCCCCGCCTGCCTCAAGGCCTTCAAGGATCCCGGCTACTTCCGTAAGCACCTGGCTGCCCACCAGGGCGGCCGGCCCTTCCGCTGCTCCTCCTGCGGCGAGGGCTTCGCCAATACCTACGGCCTCAAGAAACACCGCCTGGCGCATAAGGCGGAGAACCTCGGGGGTCCTGGAGCAGGGGCGGGCACTTTGGCCGGGAAGGATGCCTGACCGAGGGCTTCCCATCCCACGCCCACCAGAGGCCCCCTTCTGGACTCCCTCCTACCAGGGCTCCTCAGACTCTTCCCCTCGCCCCCGCTGTTGCCCGCTCCTTCAGAACTTCGACGGACTGGCGACCTTCAGGCGCACGCCCGACAGGCTCACGACGGAATCACTCCCATCCTCGACCTCTCCGCCCTCTCCTCATCCCATCAGACACTGAACCCGATCCTCCGTCCAACCCTCTCTTGTGACCCTCATCAGTCCCCCGCCCCAGCAGCGCTCTGCCCCAGTAAACTTTGGCGGAGATGGGTCTGAACAGCCCCCTCCCCGTCCTTTGAAATCTGGCTGGACAGTGGAGTATGCACAGAGTTGGGAGGGCACAAGGGGGTGCTGGGTGCTCTTTGGGGTGGGCGGGTGGGAGTCGGGGTGGCAGACGCGGCTTGTACAAAGCGGAGAATAATAAACCTTATCATGAGGGCCGCTGGAGTCCATTCTTGCATGCCACCCAGGGAGAGTGGGGATTACATGGTGCCAAAGCACAAAGTTAAAACTTGTTTCCTCTGCAATTTTGATTCCGGGCGTCTCTGCCTCTCACTCACTCTCATTCAACGGGGACTTACTGAGAATTTGCCGTATTCCCAGCTTAGTCTATGAGCTGAGCAAATGGAGATGGACAAGACAGGTAAGTGTCTGCTCTCGGGAACTGACTTAACATGCCCGGTCTCCTCTCCTTCCTGGTGCTTTCAGCCTTTGTTCACTCCGCCCGCACTTCCGGAGGCCTCCTGCCTGCCCAGCCCTGAGCTGAGGGGAAACAGATGCACTGGACCTGCCCCTGGGTCTCAAGTAAGTCGAAAAGAACTCCCGTCCAGCTGCCGCGGCTGCCTCACACCGTGTGCAGAGCAGTGGTAATGATATAGCTCCCTCCTAGCATCTGCCCTCCAGGATGATTGGGATGTTCAGAAGCCCATTCCCAGCTCTCATGCTGGTGCGGGGAACATTGAGATGTATGCCGGGCACTGTGTGTTTAGTTATTTCATTTGTTAGAAGAGGGACCTGGGGTCCTGAAGAACAAAGACGCTCTAGGGACATCTTCAAAATTCACAGTAGAATTTGGACTCCAGGCCAGGCATGTCGGCTCACACTTGTAATCCCAGCACTTTGGGAAGCTGAGATGGGTGGATCATTTGAAGCCAGGAGTTCGAGACCAGTCTGGCCAAAGTGGTGAAACCCCGTCTCTACTAAAAATACAAAACTTAGGCGGGCATGATGGCGGGCACCAATAATCCCAGCTACTCAAAAGGCAGAAGCAGGATGATCGCTTGAACCTGGGAGGCAGAGGTTGCAGTCAGCTGAGATGGAGGCACTGCACTCCAGCCTGGGTGACAGATGGAGACTCTATCTAAAAAAAAAAAAAAAATTTGGACTCCAGTCCCAGGGTATTTCAGTACAGAAATTTGTAGATGAGACCTGGCACGGTGGCTCACACCTGTAATCCCAGAACTTTGGGAGGCTGAGGCAAGCAGATCACCTGAGGTCAGGAAATCGAGACCAGCTTGGCCAACATGGCAAAACACCATCTCTATTAAAAGTACAAAAATTAGCCAGGCATGGTGATGGCCACCTGTAATTCCAGCTACTCAAGAGGCCAAGGCAGGAGAATTGCTTGAACCTGGGAGGCGGAGGTTGCAGTGAGCCGAGATTGCACCACTGCGCTCCAGCCTGGGTGACAAGAGCAAGACTCCATCTAAACAACAACAACAACAACAAAACTTGAAGCTAAAACTAGGTAAGAGAGTGCTACCTGGGTGAGTGCTGTGTGACCCATGAGAGGGCAGCTACCCCTGTGGCTGCATGTTCTAATGCTGAAGACCCAGCATGAGACAGACGTTGGGTCAGTGCCCCCAGGGTTCAGGGTTTAGCAGCAATGTGGAAATGGAGTCTCACAATGTAAACGACATGTAAGTATCACTGGGGGTTGAGGCAGCACAGAGAAGTGACCTTGCCAGAGTGGAAGGGGGGCTAAAAAAGCTTCTTGGGAAGAAGGTGATCCCTGAACAATGACATAAACCAACTGGAGTTTGCCAGGTAAAGAAGCGGCAGCAATTGCCAGGCAGAGAGTGCAGTGTGTTGAACTAACTCCTGTTATTCTGGAGAATTTAAAACAGATTAGTACGGCTGAAGGTTGAGTTCTTGGGGGCTAAACCCTGAAGGGTCTTAAATTCCAAATGGTGGGGCTTGGGTGATTTTATAGACTAGAGGCTGGATACTGGCTGCTGCAAGGCTGAATATGACCAACACATTTTTGTTAAGTCTATGCACTTCTAAAAAGGTTTTACTTAACTGCCAACTTTGGGAAATCAAAAGATTTTATGTAATGTGAACTAATGGAGCTTCTGAAAGAGACGAATTAGCAACCGTTACCCTCTTCTGATGGCACACTCTCCAATTTGTTGAATCCCAACTCTGAGACCTGGTGGCAGTCCCCATATTTCATGTCACTGGTAATTTCCTCCTGAACCTGGCTGCCTTGTTCATGTGTTTACATTGCCACCCAGCTCCTGTAGGCATTCACATTTTCAAACCCTTCTCAAAGACACAAGGAGCCGTGGCTTGGTAACAAGGATCTGTGTGACTGCCATACGGAGGAAGAAGAGGACAGGTGACTGGGTGTGGTGGCTCACATCTGTTATCCTAGCACTTTGGGAGGCCTAGGAGGGTGGATGACCTGAGGTTAGGAGTTTGAGACCAGCTGGCCAACATGGTGAAACTCCATCTCTACTAAAAATTTAAAAATTAGCTGGGCATGGTGGCGGGCACCTGTAATTCCAGCTACTCAGGAGGCTGAGGCAGGAGAATTGCTTGAACTCAGGAGGCGGAGGTGGCAATGAGCTGAGATTGCACCATTGGACTCCAGCCTGGTTGATGAGAGCAAAACTCCATCTCAAAAAAAAAAAAAAAAAAAAAAAAAAAAAAAAAAAAGAGAAAGAGGGCAGTCCTGGGCAGGGAGCTGGGCTGCCATGCATTTGCCTGTGTGTGAGACCGCTGTTAGCTTGGTCTACAAGTGTAGTGATGGTGAAAAGACATTCCAATTCCAAAGATATTTAACTGGCTCAACTGAGGGAAACTGATATGAGACTGGCCACGAGGCTGAGGGATGAAGAAGGGTTAAACCTGCCCAGGTACCCAGCTTGGGGGTGGTGGTGGTGCCAATGACATCAGAAGCCTAGCGGTTTCTTTGAGGAAAATGGAATGAGTTCTGTTCACATTGTGAGTTGCCTATGAGTTATCTCATGGGGTGCACTGGGTGAAGAGAAAGCTGTGCAAATCAGAGACTGTCACTCAACAAGCATGCAAAGCACAAGGGTCCCTTCACTTTGCCAAACTTCCCTGACCCCCTCTCCTACAGCCGAAGCAAGTAACACATAACCACACAGTGGGGCCTATTTGCTCTCCCCCCCATTCTAACGATGGGGAAACAGAACCCTGGAGGAAGGTATGATGCGACTCACTGTTGGTGGTGAGACCACAGTGTGGCCCCCTCCTCCCCAAAGCGGAGAATCCGAATACAAGACTGACAGAGAAGCCCTTCACAATGTCCTTTAATAGGAACAGAACTGGAAGTTTCGCACCTCCAGCTCCCAAGCCCTCCTCTGGCCCCTGCCACAGTGACTTCTTTGCTCCACACCTCGACCAGCCGGCCATGCTGCCGTCATGCCGTCAGCCAGCCCTTCCTTGGGACTGCCTGGGACTATGGGGTAAGCTGTTTGCTTCCAGCTGAGAGTGGAGGAAATGAGGGAAACCTGAGGCTACCTTGTAGCTTAGGGGGGACCATAGGCTCTGAGCCTAAACCTTCAGGAGGGGATACTAGGTAGCTGCTTGCTTTATGTGCTCTCAGTTGCCTCCAAAGAAGAGTGGATGGGTTAAGGACGGGCCACCATGGGGGTAAGTGGATGACTTGAGGTCAAGATCCTATGGTCAGGCTTACATCCTTGAGGCTCAATCTCAGCTGTGACTTGGGGACCCTCTGGCTTTGAGGTGATGGGATCTCAGAGTCTCTTCACAGACAACCTGGTGGGTGTCTTCTGCCTGAGAGTGGGTAGGCATCCCAGGTCCAGTGCAGTGCAATGAGGTAGGCAAGAGACTCCATCCTGGTCCACCCAAGGAGCCCCACCAGAGTCCAGGGTTCAGTTGAGGGAGGACCAGAGCAGAAAAACACGGTGGACCCCAATTCCCCTGTTCCATTGGATCCGGGCTCCCCCTCTGAAGTGCCCAGGCTCTGCCGTGACAGGCTGGGTCTTGTACAAGGACAAGCCAACGAAGAAGCCGTCAGAGCAGCGACATCCAGCCTGTGGGCCTTGCCTGTGGCCGCACACCTGCGGAGCCGCACCTGTCCCTCTCCTAGGTCTGGCAGAGGTGCTGTGTGGGCTTGTGGGAGTCTGGAGCCCGGCCATCTGCCTCTGTTCTCCATCACCGGCAGCTCACAGCGATCCCTGTAGCTGTCACCTCTCTCCTTCTCTCCTCTCCTCCGTCCTTGGCCTCCGTTTCCCCACCCCCGCCCCCCGGACCGGCCTCCTAAGTCCTCCTTAGCTAGCCCATGTCCCTGGTCTGCAGCCTACTGGTCGGCCTCCACCTTCACCTTCGCAGTCTCCCCGCGCCCCTCTTCCGCGGGGTCCCCTGCCCCGCACCCACTCCCCAACACCTCAGCCGCCGCTGCCGAGCCCAGCTGGCCTCCAGAGCCCCCCAGGCCAGGCCCCGGCCCGTGGAAGATGTGGGTGCGCTGGTGCTTGCGGAAGTTGGAGGAGTTGTTGAAGGCGCGGTCGCAGAGCGCGCAGCGGAACGGGCGCTCGCCGGTGTGGATGCGGGCGTGGCCGCTCAGCACCGAGGACTGCGTGAAGCCCTTGCCGCAGATGCCGCAGTGGTAGGGGCGCTCGCCCGTGTGCACGCGCTCGTGGTCTCGCATGTCTGAGGAGCGGCGGAACGGCTTGGCGCAGAACCTACAGGCGAAAGGCTTCCCCACGGCCGCGCCCGCCGCCGCCGCCGCCATCACCACCTCCGCCCTCTCCGGGGCCACCCCGGGACTCTGTTCTGCCGTGGCCACCGCGTCCGGAGGCCTCCGGGAGGTGCCCGGCTCCACTCCGTGCCGGTGCTGGTGCCGGAGCAGGGGTGCCAGGGCCTTGAAGGCCCGTGGGCAGAGCGCGCAACGGTAGGGCCGCTCCCCGGTGTGCAGGCTGTAGTGCGCGCGCAGGCTGGCGGGGCCCGGGCAGCTGTGGCCACACACGTGGCACCGGCTGGGGTCCCCACCCTGCCCGCTTCCCTCGGCCCCGGCCAGGTGGCCATGTTCGTGGAACAGCAGCTCGGAAACCAGCCGGAAGGCAGCAGGGCACAAGGCACAGTGGAAAGAACCTGGCTCCGGGGGCTCGGGGACCAGCGTGGTGTCTGTCACCTTCACCACCTGGATCTCGATGAGGTCACTCGGGGGTGTGCCAGGGCGGCCGTCATCAGGCACCAGGACCTGGGCAAGGGGAGAAAAATAGAAGCCTGTGGACCCTGCCTCAAGACCTCCCCAGCACATCCCCATTATTAAAGGTTCGGCTTCTTTGTTATTTTGAGACAGGGTCTCACTCTGTTTCGATCATGGCCTTTGCAGCCTTGAGCTCCTGGGCTGAAGCGATCCTTCCACTTCAGCTCCCTGAGTAGCTGGGATTACCTGCACCACCACACCCAGCTAATTGAAAAAAAAATTATTTCTGCCCCAGAGTGGTGGCTCAGGCCTGTAATCCCAGCACTTTGGAAGGCCAAGCAAGGTGGATCACTTGAGGTCAGGAGTTCGAAACCAGCCTGGCCAACATGTCGAAACCCTGTCTCTACTACATATGCAAAACTTAGCCAGGTGTTGTGGCGGGCACCTGTAATCCCAGCTACTCGGGGACTGAGACAGGAAAATCGCATGAAGCGGGGAGGGGGGGACGGGGGGGCGGACGTAGCAGTGAGATGAGATGGCACCACCGCACTCCAGCCCAGGCCACAAGACAAGACACCATCTCAAACAACAATAACAAAAGATTTAGTGTTTGTTTGTTTGTTTTAAAGTAGAGGGTGTCCCACTACGTTGCCCAGGCTGGTCTCCAACTACTGGGCTCAAGAGATCCTTCTGCCAGAGTGTTGGGATTGCAGGCGTGAGCCATTGAGCCGGGCCCATCCTCCAGGATTCTGTTGTGGTCTTATCAATATTTCCTCTCCTGTCCCAAATAAATCATAGATCCCACCTTTTCTCCCCCACCCTAGTTAAAGCCCCATCACTTGGCGCCTCCACAATTGAAAAACACAAGGGGATCTCTTTTCCTACTTCCGCTGCCTTGTAACCCACCTCCCTAGAATAGCCTGAAGGTCTTTGAAAATGTAAATCAGATCAAGTCATTTTTCGTACTCAAAACACTCCCATGGCTCCAAATGTACTTATCCTAAATCGTCACTATAATATCTGCGGCGATGTAGCTCCACTTATCTCTCTGACCCCAGCTTAAACATAAGCCGGCACCCAGCTGACTTCTCTCATCTAAATTTAGCTCCCCACCCCCACTCTACTGGCACCATTTTTATTTCCTTTATAGCACCTATCACCATAACTCATTTACTGTCTCTCTCCCCTCAAGAGACTGCAAGCTCCAAGGGAACACAGCCCTTGTCTGTCTTGGTCACTTCTCTATTTACAGAGCCCAAGTAGGAGCTAGGTAAATGTTTGTTGAATGAATGAATATCCTCTGTTGCTCTCTGAGTGAGGGAACGTGGAGGAAGTTCCAAAGTCACCTAGACCACCCACTTCTACCCCCTATTCCTCCCTTGGGCATTCGAAAAGCATCACTTAGACCCTTGCAGAATTATCCCCTACCCCAACATAGATATTCCGATCATAATCCCCCACACCTTTCAGAGTCACCTTTCCGACCTTCTACTGTAGAATTGGCCACAGAATTTATGACGCCCTGCCCCTCACAAGGCTCCACCCCAGTTATGCAAATTACCCCTGGTAAGCCCAGTTCCCTGAACCCATACCCGCCGGACAGACAACACCTTCCTCAGACTCCGCTCCATTCAGGCCCCGCCCACTGTCTCGTAGGCCCCACCCCACGCCCCGCCCACTGTCTTATAGGCTCCTCCCTGTCCCGCCCCTCGCGTATCCCCAAGAAGCCCCACCCCCAGGGCCATAGCACTAAATACCTCCCCCGCCCACCCCACATAGGCCCCGCCCAGGCCCCGCCCCCTACTCTACGATCTCCTCCCACCTCGAGCCCCAGGCCCAGGCCCCTTCCTCGCCCGCACCAGGTCCGGTGGCTCCTGGGATCGCGACTCCGGGGTCGGTGAGCTCGGACTCTGGGGCTCCGGGCGCGCAGCGGCCATCTTGTGCCCAAGCCCCGCCCCCGAGGCCAGTGTTCGCTTTGGAAGGGGGTGAGGCTCCAAGGGCTACTGCGCAGGCGCACTGTGGGGCGGCGAGGGGGCGTGGCACGGCAGGGGGCGTGGCGTGGCGTGGCGTGGCGTGGCGTGGCGTGGCGTGGCGTGGCGTGGCGTGGCGGCTGTGCCCGGGAGAAAGTGAGTTGTTCCCTCGCTAGTTAGCTGTTGGTCCCTCCTAGGGGACGCTCTGTGTGGCGCTGGGATGCCTGTAACACCCTGGAAACAAATCCGAACGTTTCTTAACCAACGTAGGCCGACTCGAGGCTCTAGCAGTCAGGGGAACCTCAGCAGAACTGAAGAAGCTTTGCTTTGTTTCCGCAGTAAAGGTTTTTGTGGCTACCTCTGCACTGCTCATGATAACGTAATGACGCCAAGTTTATGAATGTAAGGATTTTTTAAATGTCGCTGTAGGCCGGGTGCGGTGGCTCCTTCCTGTATTCTCAGCTACTCGGGAGGCTGAGATGGGAGGATCGCGTGAGGACAGGAGGTCGAGGCTGTAGTGAGCCATGATCTCGACACTGCATCCACCCTGAGCGACAGAGAGAGACTCTGTCAAAAAAAAAAAAAAAAAAAAGGCAGTGTAGAGAAAAATACTCAGTAAACAGCAAAACGGGTAGTCCTGGGAGGGCGCAAAAACCGGCAAGCTGATGTTACGTGAGGAAGGAAAGAGCTCAAAGACTCAAAGACGCAGGGTTTTCGGCAGCACCAAGGACAGGGCTCTTCTGAGCTGCTCAGTTTAGTCATTCCCGGCTGGGTCACCTTAGATAAGTCACCCCACTTCTCTGGACCATTTCTCTTTCTTTTGTTTCTTTTGTATACAATTGTAGAAGCCTTGTGACAACCCACTGAGAAAAGATATGGGAGAGTTTGGAAATATCTTTAAATCGTTTTCTTGAAAGGGCAGGATAGGAGATACTTAAACATGATCCTAATCATGATCCTTTCATTCGTAAATATATGTGAAAATTATATTTTATGATATATTGGTATAAAATAAAATAAACACCACTTAGGCTTAATTATCTCCTCCTCTTCCTTCTTCTTTCTTCTTCTTTTATAGAGATGGGGGTCTTGCTGTTTTGCCCAGGCTGGTCTTGAACTCTTTACCTTAAGCAATCCTTCTGCTTTGGTTTTCCAAAGCTATATTCCTCTTTCTTTTCTTTCGATTTTAAAATAATTTTTTAAATTTTTTGGGTTATTAAGAGTATCATGGGCCCTAGGCACTGTATCTGCCACAGTGTTTAATGCACAAGTCAGCCCTTTCTGCCCGGTTCCTAATTTGCAAAATGAGGATGATAATAAAACCGACTTCACACAGTTGTTGCGATGATAAAAGAAGTCATTACATGTAATGTATTTTGGACAATGTATGGCACACAGTAGGTGCTATGAGTTAGCTATAATCATTATGACCAATTGACACTCCAACGAGCAATTAATGGGGATCTCTGTTGCTTAACATTCTTACCAGTATCTGATAGTCAAACTTTAACATGTTCGATAATCTCTTGGGCATGAAATCTCTTCTTTCCTTTTCTTTCTTCTCCTTCCTTCCTTCTTTCTTTCTTTTTTCTCTCTTCTTTCTTTCTTCCTTCCTTCCTTTTCTCTCTTCTCTCTTCTCTCTCTCTCTCTCTCTCTTTCCTTCCTTCCTTCCTTCCTTCCTTCTGCTGGACTGTGGTAGCGTGATCTCAGCTCACTGCAACCTCTGCCTCCCAGGTTCAAGTGAATCTCCTGCCTCAGCTTCCCAAGTAGCTGGCACTACAGGCATAACACGTCATTACATTATCACGAGTGGTGCAGAGGTAACCACAAAAACCTTTACTGTGAGGGCCGGGCGCGGTGGCTCACACCTGTAATCCCAGCACTTTGGGAGGCTGAGGCGGGTGGATCACGAGGTCGAGAGATCGAGACCATCCTGGTCAACATGGTGAAACCCCGTCTCTACTAAAAATACAAAAATTAGCTGGGCCTGGTGGCGGGTGCCTGTAATCCCAGCTACTCAGGAGGCTGAGGCAGGAGAATTGCCTGAACCCAGGAGGCGGAGGTTGCGGTGAGCCGAGATCACGCCATTGCACTCCAGCCTGGGTAACAAGAGCGAAACTCCATCCCCCCCCACCAAAAAAAAAAAAAAAAAACCTTTACTGTGGAAACAAAGCAAAGCCTCTTCAGTTCTGCCAAGGTTCCGCTGACTGCTAAAGCCTCAAGTTGGCCTGCGCCGGTTTAGAAGGAACGTTTGGATTTGTTCCCAGGCTGTTTCAGCCCACCTAATTTTTGTATTTTTTTAGTAGAGATAGAGTTTCACTATATGTTGGCCAGGCAGGCCTCGAACTCCTAACCTCCGTTGATCCTCCCACCTTGGCCTCCCAAAAGTGTTGGGATTACCGGCACAAGCCACTGTGGCTGGCCTATTTCTTACTGAGAATCTCTTTGTTAAATGAGATCATTCATAGCACACAGAACTCATCCCCCAGTCTCCCTTTTTTGAGAGCTGGAAGTGAGTCATCTCTGCATCCTACAGAGAAGGCATGCATATGCCTCAGTGAATGTTTGGTAAATGAATGAGTGAGAGATTGAATTAATGTGGATAGAAGAATTTTGTACCAGAGCTTAAGGCTACTAATTATTTTTGTTCCCCTTTTTTTCTCCCACCCCCACTAAAGCTATTAAATAGTCACAGAAGAGAGCACTGTTAAGTGGAATTACCATAAGCTTTCAAATCAGGCAAACCTGGGTCCAGATCCGTGTATCCGCTTGCTGCACAACTCTGGGCAAGCGATGTCCCCTCTACGTATCTAGTTGACATCTACAAAGTGGGCACCATAATGCTATTTGGCAGTGTTGTAGTTAGAATGCCACAGGTTGAGAATGCCAAAGGTCTATGTCATGCCTGGAGTCAACTGGCGCTCAATAAATGTGGGTTCTGACTGGGTGCAGTGGCCCTGTCTCTACTAAAAATACAAAAATTAACAGCCCTAGTGTTGTGCCCCTGTAGTCCCAGCTACCTGGGGAGCTGAGGCAGGAGGAGTGCTTGAGCTTGGGAAGTTGAGGCTACAGTGAGCTGAGATCACACCACTGCACTCTGGCCTGGATGACAAAGTGAGAGACCCTGTCTCAAAGAATAAATAAACATGAAATAAATCAATATAAACTTTAAAAATATATGTGGGTTTCTTGCCTTTTCACCTGTTGTCTGGCTTCTGAGTCCCTCGGTGCCAGCATAACACTAACAGTCTATTGTATGACTTGAGGCCAGAAGTCCCGACATATGGAGCCATTGGAAAATGGCCGCTGGGCGCGGTGGCTCAAGCCTGTAATCCCAGCACTTTGGGAGGCTGAGGTGGGCAGATCACAAGGTCAGGAGTTCAAGACCAGCCTGGCCAACATTGTGAAACCCCCGTCTCTACTAAAAGTACAAAAAAAGCCGGGCGCGGTGGCTCAAGCCTGTAATCCCAGCACTTTGGGAGGCCGAAGCGGGTGGATCACGAGGTCGAGAGATCGAGACCATCCTGGTCAACATGGTGAAACCCCGTCTCTACTAAAAGTGCAAAAAATTAGCTGGGCATGGTGGCGCGTGCCTGTAATCCCAGCTACTCAGGAGGCTGAGGCAGGAGAATTGCCTGAGCCCAGGAGGCGGAGGTTGTGGTGAGCCGAGATCGCGCCATTGCACTCCAGCCTGGGTAACAAGGGCGAAACTCAGTCTCAAAAAAAAAAAAAAAAAAAAAGTACAAAAAATAAAATGAGATGGGTGTGGTGGCAGGTGCCTGTAATCTCAGCTACTCGGGATGCTGAGGCAGGAGAAATGCTTTAGAAGATTTGTCTCACTTCTTTCTGTCTCTACCTTCCTGTAAAACCTGAGCACATTACTTCTCCTCACTGAGCCTAGATTTCCTGCCTTTTAAAAGAAATTGGCTAATAGAGTTAGCTTGATGGCTCTGCAATTCCTCTCCCTGTCATTTTTCTATGTACCCAAGAAAAATGAAAATACACATTCACACAAAAACTTGGAAACAAATGCTTATATAGCAGTGTTATTCATAATAGTAAAAAAGCAGAAACAACCCAAATGCCCATAAGCATAAACAAAATGTGATATATCCATACAGTGGAATGTTATTTGGCCATAAATAAATAAATAAAATACTGATACTTGCTACAACATGGATGAACCTTTAAAACCTCATGGTAACTTAAAGAGGCAGGGAAGGGTGTGTGGTGGGAGGGGGGATGAATGAAGGTTGGTTAATGGGTACCAACATACAGTTATATAGAAGACATACTTTTTTTTTTTTTTTTTTGAGACGGAGTTTCGCTCTTGTTACCCAGGCTGGAGTGCAATGGCGCGATCTCGGCTCACCGCAACCTCCACCTCCTGGGTTCAGGCAATTCTCCTGCCTCAGCCTCCTGAGTAGCTGGGATTACAGGCACGCGCCACCATGCCCAGCTAATTTTTTGTATTTTTAGTGGAGACGGGGTTTCACCATGTTGACCAGGATGGTCTCGATCTCTTGACCTCGTGATCCACCCGCCTCGGCCTCCCAAAGTGCTGGGATTACAGGCTTGAGCCACCGCGCCTGGCCCTTTTTTTTTTTTTTTTTAAGGAGTTTCACTCTTGTTGCCCAGGCTGGAATGCAATGGCGAAATCTTGGCTCACTGCAACCTCTGCCTCCTGGATTCAAGCCATTCTCCTGAGTCAGCCTCCCGAGCAGCTGAGATTACTGGTGCCCACCACCATGCCCAGCTAAAGTTTTTTTGTATTTTCAGTCGAGACCAGGTTTCACCACGTTGGCCGGGCTGGTCTTGAACTCCTGACCTCAGGTGATCCACCTGCCTTGGCCTCCCAAAGTGCTGGAATTACAGTCAGTGAGCCACTCTGCCAAGCCTCTCTGTGGTTTTTTTGAGACGGAGTCTCACTCTGTTGCCAGGCTGGAGTGCAGTGAGCTGAGATCGTGTCACTGCACTCACCTCCTGGGTTTAAGTGATT